TGTAAAATAGTTTTTTTATATGTTGCACACCGGGTGAAAAGTCAGTCGTGTAACATCGACGGTCGCTCCTGTACCTGGATCCTACTCACTTTCCAAAGAGCCAGTAAAGGCCGAAACCTACTTAGACACTCTTATCAAGCTGCTAATAGCGAACTAGACACCCTTATCAAGCCATATATCATTAATGGTTGACTAGGCACTTTTTGGAAGCCAGTACAGACAAACAAAGATCCCCGTAATAAGACAAGGCTGCTCTATTAAGGAAGGTGCATAACCAATTCTTCTCTAGAACCAGTTGACCTTAATAGACATCTTAAACATGTGGTAGCAACCTTCCGTTCCCAAAATGTTCACAATCATAATACTAACCTTCATTGGCGTATTTAAATCGGTTGTCTCAAACAATAAAAAAGTTTGAGAAATTATAAATGTATATTATCAGAAAAAATTGAAGACTATACATAATGTTAAAAAAAAAAAAAATTACATTTGATATCTGATATCGATGTAAAAAACAACTGACCAATCAACATATTAGATCAGATCAACAACGATCTCAATTCTATCCTATTTGAATATTCCGTAGGATTTTGAAAAATTACAGCCGACGCGTTTTTTTTATACGATGATTCGGATTCCAAATTTAAACATCCTTGGTCCTCCGGTTTTACGTTTATCTTACTTTAAAAACCCTGTAAGAAATTTTATCCGAATATCTTCCATATTTTTCTGTAAAAACTCCGTGAATCTGCAACAGGATCGACAAAATCTAGACAAGCCGAATAATCTCCATGATTTAAGATTACAATTCCGTGAATATGCAACATTTACGGAAAAGACGTGGAATATAAAACACAGATCGACTTTTTTTATTGGAAAAAAAAATACTAAATTTCTAACCAACACATTACTACATCACGAAGTTGTTTTTATGTAGAGTTACGTAGAATTTTTATGTAGAGTTATGTAGATTTACATAGCTATTTATATAAATATATGTATATATCTATGTAAAATATCAAAAAATTTTCAAATATTAAAGCTAGAAATAGATTTTAAAGCTTAAACTAGGGGATTGGGTGGGTTTCCTGGCCTGCTGAACGTTTTTACTTAGTATATCGAACACTGATTACCTTAGTTATTTTTGAGAAATAGCCAAAGTAAATTAATTTATTTTTATATAGATATAAATAGAATTTATATAATTTTATATAAATAATAAATATTATTTATATAAATATTATTAAGTCATATATAAAAATTCTAACTATGTAAGTCTACATTGGGTTTGTAAACCTAAATAAAAACTTTTATACTGTATAACTTGATAGAGCTATATAGATTTTATAAAAAATAACTTTGCTGATGCTAATCGTTGAATTAATGGAGGAAGTTTATTTTTTGAGTCAAATTTCAAGTAAAAAAGATTGTTTTTATTGTTTCTGTGAACAGAATTTAAGTTTATTCGAAATTTTTAAGGTTAGGATTGCGATTTTTAGTCCGTTCTAATCTAAGTGGATTCCGAACTTATTATGGTTCCTTTCCCACTTACAACATTTCCAAATTCAAGATTTATGCTTACTGTTAGTGTATTGCAAAAAAAACGGTTCGAACGGATTCGGTATTTTTAATGGGTATGAAAGAGGATTTCATAAAGGGTACCTGAACTAAAACTGCATGTATAATTAATATGGAAAAAACACACTACTGGCAATGGACACCACTTGTCTCTCACGTCCAATACCAATCTTTAAACTCGCTGCGCAAACCGGATCCGGATCCGTGATTCGAATTCATAGTTCGAGAAACCTGCACTGGTAACAGGCATCTGTGAGAGACAGGTGAAATCTGTTGCTTGTAGTATTTTTAATATTAATCATTTATAGCACGGCCACTATTGATCATGAGTATTACACTATTTATGTTATAAATCACTTTCTTTTTATTTCATCATTCATGCTTGTTATTTTGCATGATGCACTGGATCTCAAATTATCATACTATATTATATAAATATTATTTCAGTATTTAGTGTACAATTTCGAATAATTCATCGGTTTTGTATTTCTAATTTTGATAGAATCTTCGGGTATGTTACCCACGTTAGCCCTATACGTACGTATAATAAAATAATTTCCAAAAAAAATACATATGCAAAGTAACATGATTCTGTATTCACCAGAGCCAGCTTATAAAATACAGTACAAATATGCTCTTCTAGGAAATATCAAAAAATTTTTATAGCTATTGTTCACCGGAAAAAGTTTCGATCATATATCAAATCATTGAAATAAATTCCGGAATACGCATACAAAGGTAAAAGCGATTATATTTACCGATGCGATAAAATCTCGAAGAAATAAAAGCAATTATAAATGAAGTTCGACTTATGCTTCGTCACTAAATATAAAGCTGAAATGTCTCGAACACGGATAATACAACATATTCACAATGAGAAGTGAATAGTTGGACCCAAAGCCTGGTGAAATAATTATTCCTATTACTAATATGCTAATATTATTTTTTTATAGCCCTCTAGTTCCGTAATTCTACCATATAAATTTAAGCTAATTACTCAGCTTCGAACTTTTCCAGCCAATTATCATTTACAAACCACTAAAATCTTAAAATTTGTTGAGATATATTACTAAAACATATATTAATCAGGTTATAAATAATCACTTCTCTAAACATGTCTTCTGCCCGATCGAGAGCAGCTAAAGCAATTGGTCGTTCATTTGGATTACTTTTACACAAATCTGTGCTGAAGTTTGAAAGCTCTAAAGGAATGCCCGTGGTATTACATGAACCAATTAAGTTTCCAACGCCCTATATATCAACCTTAAAATTATGCCCTTTGGTTAGCATTTCAGGAGCATGATCACTTTCAAATAATTCTTTTAAAGGCTTATCAGAAGGGGGATAGTTAGCATAGTCAAAATCAATTAAAATAAAATTTTGATATTCGTCATAATATTTGGCCATCGAACGTCTCTGTGCATTATCGGTTTGGGTTTACTTTCATGCATACCCTGTTTGAATATTATAAAAATGTATAAATATAATATATATACGTAATAGCAGTGTTGGGCTCACTTATAAGTCCAGTAAAATTGGACTGGAACTGGACTTATAAATAGTCCACTGGACCTATAAGTCCAGTGGTCCAGTTTATAAGTCCAGTAGAGCAGACTTTTGGTCCAGAGCCCAACACTGGTAATAGTGAAAATACAAAGCTCTACCTTAGTATACAGATTAATGTTGTTCTCCACTGGCGCCAATTTAACAGAATGTGTAGATGAATGTTCTAGCTTGTCGGAAAATCTAACATTATTTACCTACATAAATATATATAAGTTGTAATGTCTTCTACCTATATAGTAAATTGTGTAATATAGTGTTTTAGTAGGCCTTTGACTATTTTAAATTCTGACCCGGGTTAAAGTAATTTTCGACCCGTGACCCGTACGGGTCAACCGACCCGGGTAATAGCTCTAGACCTAATTCGTCTCAATACGTCCAAAATCTTTTCGAGAATTCGCCAAATTTAGCATCCCCAAAATTATTAACCTCTCTTATGTGCTCTTCAACTTTTTCTTTCTGGAGAAATTGTTTACAGCTGTTCATTATCTCTCATTGGTATATTAAAATGGTGCTGTGAAAATTTTGCGAGATTTATCAAATATATCGATAATAGGCTCCAAGCTATCGTCCAATATTCCAGAACAAAGGGGGTGATCATATCCAAGGTTCTCCACGTTTATTTGTTTAATTTTACCTCTATTTCTTCCCGCATGAGTTTTCGTCATAATAATTTGATAGAACAAGCTGAAATATATATTAGCATAATATTAAATAGATCTTTAAAGATATAATAATTTTGAGTAGAGTACTAACCTTATGTACATCACATTTTAACGAATCAAAGTTACTTTTGTATCTATTACCCAGGTCGGCTCTACTTTCTTTATATGCAATTAATTATTTACTATGAATTTCAGGATATTCAAAAGACAAAGACCTCAAAGGCTTTAACATGTACTAAGGACTTGATATAAGTAAAGGCATCTGATACCTAAAAATAATGAATAATATTTCAGTTAACTAAATAACAGAATGAGAAAACAGATATAATATTTGCATAGATCAGATAGTTTTCTCTCTTCGGCCGAAATATATGATCTCCGTGCTTCCATGCATAGTGTTTATTGCATATAAATAGCTACTACTAACGAGCTCATAGCATAATTAAATGTTATAGAGGCGTAGCCCTTCGCTGCTATGTGCCACTATATATTTCAACGTTTGTGATCGTTCAAGAAAACTGTAGAATAACCATTTCTAATTATAAGGTAGCTCCGTTCTTGAAAAAAACTTACGCGTTTTCTCAAAGCCTCACCGGTTCCAAGTTCTCTGAGGATATTTTAACATTCATTATCTATAGTTATAGTATTTAGTAGTCGTTCAACCGTCTCCTCGAAATTTTTTTATTTCTTTTTCTCGGTCGTTTGTCCATTCACCTGCTTCTATGCGTTTGTATAAAGCAGTGGCAATATTAATGTCCGAAGTAGGAGTATATGTTGTGAAAAAAGTTTCCATCTTTAACAAATGCTTTAAATATGAAAAAACACGTTAGAGATATGCTCAAACTTTTTTTGACGTTCAATGGTGGGGTGTGGCCTATCGGTCAATTTACAAACATAGTGCAGGCAGGGTTGGCAATGGACTATGATAGGTTCTGAATAAATTGTCAATGGATATTGTCCATTGGGCCAATGACATAGTCCATTGGCATTTGCTAAGCCACATTTTGGTCCATTGGCCAACCTAGAGTGCAGGTCATTGTCAGAAGCATAGCAAAATCAGCCCCACCAGGTAACCTAGGCCCTATATTGAGCTAAAAATATCTCATGATTATCAACAGGTGAGACCGTCCCAAATTAGGAAATAATCGGAAAGATCATTACACAATTCATTGTAAATCTTTTTATACAGTTTACAATAGTCTTCGTGCAAGGTTATCGGGTGGCTCATTTGTGC